ACCCTTCAGGGACTCAGAATTGAGTATTCATAGGTAGCACACCTAAGGACAAATAATTATGAAAATGAGATCATTGTGGAAAATATGAACTGTATGTTCCAACACAAAAAGATAAAAGCAGCCAAATCGGTTTGGCTCAATGGATAGAGCGTCGGCCTGGGGACTGAAAGGTCCCGGGTTCGATTCCGGTCAAGGGCATGTACCTTGGTTGCAGGCACATCCCCAGTAGGGGCTGTGCAAGAGGCAGCTGATCGATGATTCTCTCTCATCGATGCTTCTAACTCTCTATCCCTCTCTCTTCCTCTCTGTAAAAAATCAATAAAATATATATTTAAAAAAAAAAAAGGTAAAAGCATATTCACTTGCTCTGACATATAGCATTAGAGGAGGCATTGTATTGGACTCTGTATAAGATACAAGATAAACCAGACATAGCTTCTATTCTGGGATGCTTATAGTTCAGTAGATGGAACAGTGTCTGCTGAAGTGGTTCGAGCCCTCTCAGGGCTCCCCCAATGTGGCCGTGGCCTGGCTCTTTGCTAGGGTTCTCTCCTATACTCCCAGGGCCTTCTCTCTGTCCCTGTTGTTTCTTTTCAGAAACAACACTCCTGCGCTCCTTCGGCTAAGGGCCAGGCCGGGCCTTGGCAGCCTCTTTTCTCGGTCCTGTCCTGAAACAGAGCAGCAAGGCTGGGGACCGTGGAGACAGAGGCTGGAGGAGCCTTCCACATTAGTCCTGGATCCCCTCCTTTCCTCTGCTCTGCCTTTCCCTGCCTGGAAGGCAGCCACGGGTGGGGAGTGACAAGGTCATTCACTCCGTCCTCCCTTTACAAGGGCGGGCCTCAGATGTGGGCCTCCAGGCCCTTCTCATCCAGTGAACACACACACCCTTTCCCTGGCAGAGCTGATGGTGACAGCCCTGGGCTCCCCTCCCACCATCATGCCTTCACTAACACGGAAGCTGAGCTTTCCTCTCTGTGTGGTCTGCCTTGTCCAAGCTCTATGGTCAGTGATTCAAGCTGCAATAGAAAACGAAAAAAAAGACACGAGAGCTTGCTCTTGTCCTTGGCGAGCACACACACAGAAAAACCGAGGTCATGTGAGAACACAAAGAGAAGGAGGCTGTCTGCAGGCCACGGAGAGAGAGAGCCCTTACCAGAAATAGGATTAGCCAGAATCTTATCTTGGACTCCAGCTTCCAGAACTGTGATAAAAATGTTGTTTAAGCCACCTGGTCTATGGTATGTGGTTATAGCAGCTCTCACAAGCCAAAATAGATTTTGGTACAGGGAATAGGGCTCCAAGGCCCACAATATGCATGTTCGTTCCTCATGCAAGATGCATTCATTCCATCCCAATAGCCCTCAAAGTCTTAGCTCATTCTTTAGTTAAATCTCCTCTGGTTACCCCAAAATGCCTTCCAAAATTGTTTTGTCTCTAGGCTCTTTAATAATTCACAACAGCCCCTTCTCCAGATTCCTGAACCCTTCTAGATGCTGAGAAACACACACCAGCGTTAGTCCTGTTCTCGTCGAGGGGCCAGCAGTGCCTCCACTGCTGTCCACTGCCAGGGCCGCATGGCCGACACCCACCATGTCCCGCACCCCCAGGAGGTCAGTGCACATCATAGCGAGCAGTCAAATTCCCAAACTCCTGTTCGAACAATTTGCATATTAGGTTTTTATTATATAGGATAACACTAAAAAGACTTTAAATATTACCTATTACTTATCTAAATCTTTATTATAACCTGAAAGGTGTTATGTTTTTGCTGTTTCACAATCTAGAGATGTATGCATCAGATCAGAAAGGTCAAAAAGCTAGTGACATTTTTGCTCAATTCTGTATTCTAATAAATTTGGAAATGATGGAGAAAAATGGGAGGACAGATGAGTAGGCTCAGGAATGGAAATCAGATTAACGAAGTATAAAATCAACAATAACAAATTCATTTATTGATGTTGATCTTAAAAATAAAGTCCCCAGCCTGGCAGCCCAGCTGGTGTGGCTCAGTGGTTGAGCCTCGACCTATAAACCAGGAGGACACAGTTCAATTCCTGGCCAGAGCACATGCCTGAGTTTTGGGCTTGATCCCCCAGGTAGAATATGAGGGAAGCAGCCGATCAATTACTCTCTCATCATTGACGTATCTTCCTCCCTCTCTCTTCCTCTCTGAAATCAATAAAAACATATATTTTTAAAATTAAGCCTCCAAAACAGCCCTTTAGATAAATCTTAATTAAACAAATGTTTCAAGAACCTCTAAAATTGATTGTCTTTGGAGAGGGGAACTGGGTGCCTGGGGACAGGAGTTGGAGAAAGACTTCACACTAAACCTTTTGCGTTGTAACCATAACAACCTATAATCTATGTCAATAAATAAATAATTCTTCTTGGAACACTTTATTAGTTCCCACAAATAGTTTGTAATTAATAGCACTTGATAATCCCCTATGAGGCTGCAGAAAAATGGAAATTTCAGAGAAAAAAATCATAATTGTTCTGAAAAGGAAAGGGAAAAATCATGTAAAGGGGCACAATACTTGCTTGGTGGGGCTGGGAATCAGAGACAGACAACCTTTGCTGCAACAATTACTACAATGTATTTGATCAATTCCATTGCTATCATAGTTTACATTTTTTTATTTTATTTTTTTTTTAGAGAAAGGAAAAGAGAAAAGGAAGAGATAGAAACATCATTAATCGGGACAGGTGCCTTGATGTGTAATGGAACTAGGGACCTCTTGATGCATGCTCAACTACTTAGCCCCAAGGCGGGCCCCTATCATCTTTAGCTCATCTTTTCAATCTGTTGCTAAGGAACTTGTCTGAAAGCAATTTACTAATAGGAATCTGTATGAAGCAAAAGAAAAGCAATGATTCTGAAACTTTCAAATTAGGCCATGCTAATTTAATCTATCACTTGTAAATTATTAATACAGAGGTCTTGATAACGTAAGAAAACATTCAAACCTGCAAAGAATTTTTTGTGAGTTTATTTGTCAACAATTGAAGCAGAAGCTCAACCTATTGGGGTAATGCTCTGAAGAATGGTGATCTTTCACCTATTTTTATAACTTTTATAACAAGAAATCCATTGGTGATAGATTAGAGAAGCAAAGGGGAACCACTGGGAATGGATAAAAAATAAAATGATAAGACATGCTTTTTTTACATTCATGGGTATAGGAGAGTTAACAGTCAAAGATTAACACAATAACAAAAATAAAGGAATTTGTCTTCTACACCCAAGTGCCACTTGTTGTGCCCTGAGGGATCTGGAAAAGGGAAGTTACAAGTGGCCCTGACATTCCACCGGTACCTTACACAAAAAAGACAATAGGCTCAAAAAAAAGACAATAGGCTCAGTAAAAATAGAAGTTGATCTTTGTCAGGGAAGACACTGGCCTAGAACATGACTACCCACTTTAAACTTTCTATTTCTTTTTTCTTTTCTTTTTTTAATATTGTTAACTTGATTTCAGAGAGGAAGGAGAGGGAAACAAATGATGAGTCATTGATTGGCTGCTTCCCTTTTTAATTGTTTTTATAAACTGCTTTTTAATTTCAGACCATCCTTAGGTTACTTTAGGTCTCTTTGAGTTTGCAAGGCGACCAGGCAGGACTTCCTTGAGTTAGTCAGGTTGGCCTGCGGACAGTCGCTTTTCATCCAGCCTGCAGACTGGCATACCTGGAATGGGGAGCCTCAGTTCTGAATTCTGATTCTCTATTAATACTTGGCTTTTCTCCTTAAAAAAAAAAAATACTGTGAATTCCATACAATTCCCGGTTAAGAACATTTTTGTTTGAAGAGATCTTTGCAGAGCAACGGGAAAGGAAGACAAAGCTACTAATACGTGAAAGCTCTGAACTAAAATTTCTATTTGGGAACGAGGTAAGAAGACTGAGGACTGACATTTAGCATACAAAAAGGACCCTGGGCAGATCAGCGCCCCGCGAAGGGCGGTGGGTATTTTCAGGAGCGCGGTGTGAGCTGGGGTGCCAGGCGCAAGACACAAACTCGTAAGAAAAAGCTGGTAACTCCGGGTCCTCGCGATCCTGCCCACTCAGTTGGAGAGCGGGGTAGCAACACATCGATGTCTTCGCTTTCCTTCCCAGCGCGCCGGGGAGCCGCCAGGACTCCGTTCAGGCCCTTTAGACAGAGGCAGCCTAGGCTCGCCCTTTCCACCCAGTCCGATCGCTGCCATCTACTGTGTCCCCGCGTCTCAAACTAAAATCTGGCCATGGCACAGATAAGATCGGGGACACAGCAGGTTATCTTCAGCTTTGAGCTCTTTTCTCTTACATTTTTAAAAGTCCTCCCAATCCCTTAGTTTCGAGGACACACAGACAATCGAGCAGACGGCAGCGGGACCCTGAGAAGAGCCAACGTGGCGATAACTAGAAAACGAGGGGTGCCCATTCCACCAAATACTCCGGGCACCGCGGCCTGCGCCCCGCCCACCTCCCCTGCCAGCCAATCACCTTCACAAACCCTCTGCCACTCTCGCCCGTTCTTAGGGTCCCCGCAGAGCCTCCCTCCGCTCCGGTCGCCCGACGCCCTAACACCCAGTGTCTGCGCACCGCTCCTCGGCTTCGGCAGACCCCCGCTGCCGGCGGAGACCCCCCCCAAGGCTCCCGAAGACAGTCTCACAAACAACGGCGGGGCGAGAGGCAGGAAAAAGGGCTGCCCCGACGCCCACCGGACGCCTCCGTACAACGTTTCCCTTGACCCGGAAGTGATTCCCCCACCCTCCGTTTTCTCCCCGCCTCCCTTCCGCCTTTTCTACGGTTACAATGAGAGGAGGAGGGCGCGCAGGTCTGGCCCGGCATGCCCTGGGCTTCCGGTGACCTCTGGCCCTTTTCTGTCTTCTGCTGTGGCTTCCGAGCGTGCTCTCTCTCGCTCTCAGCCTCCCTTCCCTGCCTCCGGCTTTCCTCCGCACGCTGCCTGGTGACTGTGGCGCCCGCGACCCGCAGAGGGGCGGAGGCGGAGGACACTCGCCATGGCCGCCTCTAAGCCTGTGGAGGCGGCGGTGGTCGCTGCGGCTGCGCCCGGCTCCGGGAGCGGGGTGGGCGGCGGCGGCGCGGCGGCGGGGCCGGGCGCCGGGGGCCTGCCGCGGTGGCAGCTGGCGCTGGCGGTCGGGGCGCCCCTGCTGCTGGGCGCGGGGGCCATGTACCTGTGGAGCCGGCAGCGGCGGCGCCGAGAGGCTGGAGGTCGAGGCGACGCCGGCGGCTTGAAGCGCAACAGTGAGCGGAAGACCCCGGAGGGGAGGGCCAGCCCGGCCCCGGGCAGCGGACACCCCGAGGACCCCGGCGCTCACCTGGAGATGGTGAGGAGCGGCCCCCGCCGTGGCCGTGGAGGGGCCCGGCGGGGGCAGCCTTCCCTGGCGGGCTGTGCGGGGCGGGGGCCTTCCCTCCCTGCGGCCGGCAGCACGTGGGCTTAGGGAGCGCCGTGTCTGGCAGCCTGTAGAGGGGATGGAGTAGTCCGAGGGCACCGGCTAGCGACCTTCTCTGACAGCTTCCTTTGGGGGTTCAGAAACGTGTTCTTCCCCCGGTGACACAGCACTTATCTCTAGTGGCGTTGCACATGTGACGATGGTATTAAGCAGTGAAGGAAACCAAATTCCATTAACGATGGGTACGTTGTAATAGGAATGGCTTTGGCGATTCCCAAGGCCTGGCACTTAGTCGGTAATAACCTTTTCAGAACAAGCCACTCCCCCCCCTTTTTTTTTAAAGTGTCTTAGGATGGAGGATGAGTAAATACGGTGACTGTAGGTTGACTGTAAATGGTATTCATTTGACTTCTTTTTCCCATCTGTGAGAGTGAGTTCTTAACCATTTTGGACAGAAGCATCTTAAATTCGTCTTTTTATCTTACCTTGACATTTCCATGATCAAGCTTGACCCGATGCCTGAAACACATTCTCTGATGTTAGGCAAAACGTTGGCGGATCCCCTGAACTGCTTGGTATGGTTTTGTTGAACTGTTAAATCCTTTTGGTGTCTAACAGCTGTGTAGGGAATTGGCCAGGCTGCATTTAACACTAGGGTGGGGTAAGGTGGAGGGTCTTATCCGAGACGAGGATTATACAGTGGAAGTTCCAGAATAAGGCAGAGGTCAGAGAAACCTTTGGTCAAATAACTCCAGTTTATATACATTTACAAATCATTTCCATATACTGTTCATGTATATTCAAGACATGTTTTACTAAGTCAGCTTTGAAGGAAGTTTTTTTTAAAGTATATTTTATTGATTTTTTTTTTACAGAGAGGAAGGGAGAAGGATAGAGAGTTAGAAACATCAATGAGAGAAACATTGATCAGCATACCTCCTACTGGAGTTGTGGCCGCAACCAAGGTACATGCCCTTGACCAGAATCAAACTTGGGACCCTTGAGTCCTAAGGCTGACACTCTATCCACTGAACCAAACCGGTTAGGGCTGAAGGAAATTTTGATGTGGTAATGAACTACCTTAGTTTAGTGCTTATTATATTTCTGTGATGTTAGGCCAGGAGAGAGCCAAAGGTTTTCCAATAGGAGAGTAAAACATAGAAAAGATGCACAACAATATGGTGGAACTAAGAGATGTGCACTTTATATTGGGCTTTCCATCAGTTACCTTGGGAAGGTCTCCCCCCCCCCCCCCCCCCCACTCAAGGATATTTTCCATTGATATTTGGACAGTAGAAGAGAGAGTGAAACATCAATGTGAAACATATCAATTGGTTGCCTCCTGCAGGAGCACCAATCAGCCTGCAACCAAGGTACATGCCTTTGATGGGGATCCACCCAGGACCCTTCAGTCCCCAGGCTGAAGCCCTATCCACTGAGGCTAAGGCGGGAAGGTCATTTACTCTCTGGTCTTCCTGTCATCCTGCATAATTAGATAGATCTCTTACATTTCTTCCAGCCTTAAATGGTGATTCTGAGTGCTGCCAATAAGGTAATCCATCCGGGATTCTTTAATTAGTCATCACTTGCCTCATGTCATTTTCATGTATCTGGAATTATCTGGCCTTTCCTACTTCATCTTTATAAATTTTAAATTCAGTTTTTAGTCACAGAAGAATAGTAGATGAATGAAAAATACATAAAAGTTCTCAGTTATATAATAATCACCAAAAATATAGTTTCTGTATATGAAACTAGGTTTTGACATTTCTTTTTATTTTTTTTTATTTTTTCTGTTGCATTTTCAAATAATACCCCATATCAGCCATTTGGTATTTGATAGAATCTAGTAAACTCTTTCATTTTCAGCATTGTCTGGGTCTACACTGCGATGATTTTTAAATTTCATGGTGTTTTGTAGTTTTATAAGAATAATTTTTTAAAAAAATATATTGATTTTTCACAGAGAGGAGGAGAGAGGGATAGTTAGAAACATCGATGGGAGAGAATTAGCTGCCTCTTGCACACCCCCTACTGGGGATGTGCCCGCAACCACTGTACATGCCCTTGACCGAAATCGAACCCGGGACCTTTCAGTCCGCAGGCCGACGCTCTACCGCTGAGCCAAACCGGTCCTGGCAAGAATAATTTTTTTTATTCACTTGACTGCCATTAAAAAATGAGACCTTTAGATTATTAACTTCTTTGTGTAACTTGAATGCTTAATCCAAAATAAAATCCAAAATAAAACTGGCACATACTATTGTACACGTGGAATTTATGGGCTTGTACTTACATTCTTGCGTCGAGTTACTAGATGATTCTTTAGTAAAGCAACAATAAGAATGTCTATTTTACTTTTAAATTTTTTTCATCTTCACTCCAGGATATGTTTATTGGTGATTTTTAGGGGAAGGGGGAAGCATCAATGTAATAGAGATGTCTATTTCATTTTTAATAACAAATTTGTATTTTAACTTTATGACAAATAAATACTGGTCTTATAGTCTAGAGTTATTATTAGACTACCTAAATATAACTGGCCCTAATTGTAATTTATTATATGTGGTTGGAGAAATTGCTGTGTTTGAATAGCATTTTTAAATTGGCAACTTCAGTAGGTTTTGTAGTTAGGCATTTGTTTCAACTAATAGAAAAACTGGCAGAATCCTGATGTCTTATAGCTGTTCTTTCTCTACCTGATCAATAGTAAAAAAAAAAAAAATTTTAAATATATTTTATTGATTTTTTACAGAGAGGAAGAGAAAGGGCTAGAGAGTTAGAAACATCGATGAGAGAGAATCATCGATCAGCTGCCTCTTGCATACCTCTCACTGAGGATGCACCCACAAGCAACGTACATGCCCTTGACTGGAATCGAACCCGGGACCCTTCAGTCGCAGGCAGACGCTCTGTCCACTGAGCTAAACCGGTTTCAGCATTAAGAGAATGAAGGAATGGGCAAATATTGTCAGTGCAGGGGTCACTATCAGTGAATGATAATGGAAAAACCAGTGTTTTTTGTCTTTGGACTTAGTTTGCCTTTATGTAAAATGAACCAATAAAATTACTGGGCTTTTCTTTATTGGGTTTCAGATTTCAGGTGCAGTGTAGACTAGTTCCAGTTATTTTTTAGGGGGATAGTGATAGCAAACTTGTAATGAAAAAGCAGACATTTATATTTTGTTTATTTAACAGATTTTAGGATATTACTAAAGAAAGGCACTTAACCACAGTCTACAGCATCTGAGGTTGCGGTACAGTCTGGCCTCATCCACAAAGGATACATTCCAAGTGGATGCCTGAAAATAATCCTCAATCCTGTATTTACAGATGTTCAATTTAATGATGAATTTACATCAATATATACCCATCATAAGTTGAAAATATTGTAGGTTTAAAAATGCATTTAACGCTATGCTGTAGAATATCAGTTTACTTTTGTGATCTGTGGCTGACTGGGAACTGTGGCTCACTGCTACTGCCCAGTGTCACAGGAGAGTATCTTACCATATATCACTAGTCCAGGAAAAGATCAAAATTTCAATATTAAGTACAGTTTCTACTGAGTGCATATTTTCATGCCTTTCATGTAAAGCTGAAAAATCATAAGTCAGACCATTAAGTTGGGAACCATCCATACTGTGTTTCTTCTTTTACATGCCCATAATAAAGTTCCATGTGTAAATTAGGCAAAATAAGAAATAATAGTAACTAATAAAATAGAACAATTACAGAGCACTGTGATAAACTTAGGTAACTGTATCTCTCTCAAATATCTCATTGTACTAATCTCACTCTTGTTACCATGTGAGATGATAAAATGCCTGCATGGTGAAATGAAGTGAGGTAAATGACCAGGTCTTCTTGACGTAACGGTAGGCTACTATTGACTTGACCATACATCAGAAGGAAGATTATTTGCTTTGGGTGATCCTGACTGATCAAGTCATGAGCATGTTGGTGGTTGGATGTCAGGAACCACAGTCATGTTGATGACTGGGAAAATTTTCCATGCAGGCAACTGAAAACTTGGAGAGAGAAACCGTTGATATGGAGGGACTGCTATACTGAAAGTATTAACTCATATTATATAATGGGCCATTATAAAACCTACCATGATGTGCCACAGATTCAATAAAAATAAAAATAAAAACTTGAACAATTATAGATTCTCAAAGTCAGGAAGTTGTTTGAAGATCATCTTGTCCATAGGTCTTCTCAGTCTCTGGACCTGAATTATCATAATAGACCACCACACCCACATATACACCAAGTCTGGTATGCTGACTGCATAAATGTTTTGGACATTTCTTTTTCCAAACCTATGATTTAAAAAAAAAAAAAAGTGCATATATTTTAAAGCATTTTGACTTTATAATAGCTTTTTTTAAAATTTAATAAATCTTTTTTTTTTTAAATCAATCTTTATTGTTCATATTATCACAAAGGTTCCTCATTTCTTCCCCCCTCCACCAGATTCCCACCCCACCCTCCGCCCCCTCCCCAACCCCCATTGTCCTCATCCATAGGTGCAGTTCATGTTCAGTCTCTTCTTCCCTCCCTTTCCCCAATAGTAAATCCCTTTTCAGATAGTAAATCAGTTACTTAGCATTTTCTCATATCAATAATACCTCCACATGCCCAATGATACACTTCATACAAAAGACATTTCCCAATAGGTCCACCAGCCTCATCCAGGCCCCACCCAAGGCACTCACAGATGAACACCCCAGTCCTAAACTAACTCAACACATCCAGATCTAAGCCTTCATCACTTGATTCAGCAGACCCTCAAGTTCCCACGAAAGTTTCCAGCCATGTCTGAGAGGCAGCCGTGGGGCAGGGGCAGGCAAGGAGCGAGCTGTTCTGGGCCTGGCTGCTCAGGGCCTGGCCTCTGTTGCTCTGGTTCATTCCACAACCAGCTGCTCCTG